CAGCATGGATAACAAAAAGTAACGTCTGGCTAACCTCATGGACAAAAAAACAAACAAAGCGGTCCACAGCACAGGAACTGTCAGTGTGGAAAGCAAAATACATTTTATACATACCACAAAAAAGGACTGTTACAGGGTATGCACGTTACAGTAGTTAAGTCACGTAATGCTGCAGCAATGGCAGAGCATCTGTCAGAGGTTTAAATGAGGAAAGGAAATCATCACCTAACGAATCAGCTGTGTGCGACAACCCAGAGTCACTAATTACAAAAAGCGACACAGCTGAGGCATGGATCCCACAAAAAAAGAGAAAAGCAGGAGAGAGAAAAGAAAGAGAGGCAGGGGGCGCCGCGCGGAACCGGCCGGAGTTTGTGCCCAAAAAAAAAAGGTGGGATCCCAGAATGAATGTAGTTAGTTTCATTAGCTGAGACTAAAGCAGACCTACATTTTCTAAACCTTCAGGCACTTGTACTGTTAAACTACTGCTACAAAGTTTCCATTTCACGCTAATTTGAGGTGCAACTCTTGTACTTCTCTCCATTTCTTAGACAGTGATAGTTAGGCTACCTGTAACTTTGCAGCTTCAAATTTTATACAAAAAGAATATAAAACACAGAACATACAGAGCAGAGGGACGGCTGCTTGTCACCATCAGCTGGTCTGTTAAAATCTGTCCCTGTGCTCCTTTAATATTCTTTTCAAATTCAGACTTGTTGTACTGGCACGACCACAAGCAGTGGTGGAAGGTAACTAAGTATATTTACTCAAGTACTGTACTTAAGGACAATCCTAAGGTATCTGTACTTTAGTATTTTTATTTTGTGCTACTTCATGCTTTGTCGTCACCTCATTTTAGAGGTAAATATTGTACTTTTTGCTCCACTACATTTATTTGATAACTTTAGTGACTAGACCCTTTTCATCCATCCATTTTCTTCCGCTTATCCGGAAGCGAGTCGCCTAGACTTCCCTCTCTCCAGACACTTCCTCCAGCTCCTCCGTGAGAATGCTTAGGCGTTCCCAGGCCAGCCGAGAGACATAGTCCCTCCAGTGTGTCCTAGGTCTTCCCCGGGGCCTCCTCCTGAGTGACCGAGCTCCTCACCCTATCTCTAAGGGTGCGCTTTAATTACTCTTTAATGTAGTGTTTCATTTTTAAGGTGAAGATTGCGATATGTGATTGTTACTGACCAGCATGTGCGCGCTCTGCTTCCTCGGTGCCATCGTCTCCCACATGCACAGTGATTTGATCCACCCATGACTCATGCTTACGGACGCACGTAGTTCACCTTATATTATTGCGCATTTAGTACAAAACATGTTGTTTTTCGACATAAACACTTAAGTTCTCACTGTGCACAAAAGCCTCTGTCCGGCGCGTAACAGACCTACTGAGAGATGGTTCTCTGTAATATATGTTCTCTGTTTAGCAGCTTTTAAGAACCCTCGATAAGCAAAACGTGGCCTTTAAAAATAGAGGTTAAATTGAATGAACAGACATTTGGTCATTATTAATAAACTCAAATATAATATTAGCATTGTATGAGTGGTATAAATGGGATATTGGGGATATTGATTAGCCATCTGATGATCATAAGACTGTTAGAAATTAACCCAATTCTTTTGTTGGAAG